CCACCTTCACTCTGTTCTCCTCCTCCTCCCACATGCCCCCCCCCCCCACCTTTTTCTTTTGAGAATTGTACCCTTGGGGTATGAGCATGGGCAGATGGACTGAAATGTTCTTTTCTTTTCTGTGGTTCTGTGAATTGAACACAGGACCTCATGCATGCCCTTCCACTGAGCTACATCCCCAACCTGACTGTACCTTCTAAAGCACACTGTGGCGCAAATCTCCTTTGCATTGCCTTCTTTTTCCTCTCTATCTAGTTAATCCCTCTACAGGATGATAAATACATAATACCTTGAGTTGAAAGTGAATGGGTAAAGACAAAAAGCCAGACATTCAGGAGATTTGACTGATAGGCAAATGTTCCTGAGACAATGTTGGATCATTCATCTCTCAGAATTAAGTGAGGGCTGCATCCACATGCAGCCTAATTCGAGAAGAAGCCATCTTTTAAATCCTCAGGGAAGCATTAAGTCCTCCTCCTGCATTCCTGCTCCCCCCGCAAGACACTCCCCACCCCTCCATGGAACAAAACCTACCAGGAATTTCTCAAGTTTTACCCTGGCTCATCCAGCCCTCTGTGTGGATGACAAAAGACCATGCTTCTTAGAGTCCACCAACTTGGGGGTCAAATTTCTATCCTGCTGGTTACCCACTGTATACTCAGTATAATTTATTTAAACTTCTAAAAAGCAATAACAATAAACAAAAAACTCTGCTTCTATACAATAGGGAGAATAATATTTTCTCCATGGCACTGTAACAATTAAGTGGGATCGCATATGAAAAGCGCCATATAATTACAACTTGCAATGAAACTACTTAATTTTGCAGTTTCACTTTCCACCTGTACTGCCTAAGTTCAAAGTAAGTTTGCCAGCAGCCATGACTGTAGCTACTGTAGCTCATGACAGTGCGTGGTCAGGGATGGGCCCTGTAGGAATGATTCCACTGGACTGGACATGAAGTATGGGAGACCCTGGGTATAGGAGCATGAGCATGCCTCCTCCCAGATGAGCTGCAAGAGAGAGGACGCAGTAACATCATCATGTCTGTGATGAGACCACTTCTGGGTAGTGACAGGACTAGGACATGATACTCCACTGGATGCATGTGGTCAAAAGACAGAGGGGTCAAAAAAAAAGCAAAAGTTAAGTATCTCAGATGGGCAATGATGGGGAATGGAGAAGAACATCATCCTTTCAAATAACAACTCTGAGTTACTCACTCACTTGAGAAAGGGACCTGGGTCATTCTAGGCAGTATTCCCTGCATGGGTCCAATGTGCTGCAAAAACCTCAAAGGGTTAGCTGGCCACTGGGATTAGGAAGCTGACCAGCTGCAACAGGAGCCCTGACACTTCCACTGGATAAAACAATGGCTTAGCCATCATCCTTGGCTTGAAGGGTTGGGGGAGGATCTGTAAACAGAGATGTACTGAAGAACTCATGTCCGTACTACAAGGAAAATCTACTGGTGTTGGAGAAAAGCCCTGGAAGGCTAACTTCCTACTGCCCCCACTTTGGTCCACTCATCATTCGACCATCAAGATGTTGGACAGAGTGTCCCATGTGTCCCCTCAGTGCCTGGATGTCCCCCAGCTGGCAACACCACTTTTGCATTATCACTGAACCTCTCTGGAAAGCAGACTCCTGCACATAGTAGGGTTCAATAAATATTTGTAGGATGAGAAAGGAATGAACAGGAAATGAAGAACATTGAAGTGCTGGGGTGAAGGCAGACTGGGAGAATGGAACTTCCATGGTAGCCTGGTGCCAGGAAGTCTAGAAGGGGATAGTTTGTAGATAAATGTGGGTGACGAGCCTGGTCTGTATAACCAATCTGGAGCCGTAGCCATCCTCAGGGCATGAAAGGCCCGAACACAAAACAAATTAAATAATATAACTGGGGACTGAATTAGAAAAGGACATATGCCATGCTTCCCTAATGATGTCAAGATGGATTCTACTGTCATATGTAACTAAAAGGAATCAATTAAAAATTTAAAAAAATTTTAAAAAGGATACATGATTTCAGACACGTGAAATTTGCTGAGAGGTGATAGAGGTAGAGACAAACCCAAAAGGTCCAGAAAAGTACACACGCAGCCCAGCTCCCCATTTAAGAAGTGTTGGCATAGAGTACATTGTTAGCTTTTAGGAGTGATTCTCAGAAGGGAAAATAACTGGGCCTTTTATCACAGGTTCCAGTGGCGGAATCCTGGCGGGCAGTGATAGGTCAGCATAGTAACAAAACAGAGGTACGGGAGGTCTGGCCTCGTGGAGATAGGATCCTGACACCCTTTATCCCTTTACAGGAAGGATTCGGGGAGAGGTGCAGCCATCCAGGGCTGTGTGGGGGAACAGCTTTTACTGCACTACAGGTAGGGCCTGGCAGGTCTGGGGAAGACACACGCCAACTCAGACAATGATTTCTGCACTGGTGGCATCCTATGCTGTAGAGGAAACGCTGCCCGATGTATGTCCCTCGCTTTTCAAATGAGCTTGCTGAGGATGATGGCAAAATGGTTCCATTTGGGGTTGGTTGATTTCTTGTTTTGCTGCTGTTGTTGCAACACTAGAGATGGAACCCAGGGCCTTGCACATTCCAGGTGAGTGCTCCACCCCTGAGCTACACCCTCAGCCCAGGGGTTGGCTCACCTCTCTAAGCTCTAACACTCAGACTCAGAACTGTTCACTAAGCCACTCAGTTTCTAGACACCCAGGCTAAGGATGGAAATGAGCCTTTAGGAGTGATAAGCGCCATCAGTGGTCTGAGGCTACTCAGAAGGGAAGTGGTGACGTACCTTTCCGGAGGGTGTGGGGACTCTGGTCTGCAGGTGGCTGGCTGGGGCTGGCACCTGGTTGAGTCCCCGGTTGCGTCCCTGGACAGGTTGTCCCTTGGCTGGAGCCTGGACTTCCTTTCTGCCCAGACCCTGGAGACAATTCCTTGCTTTTAGCAGTGCTGAAACACAAACACACAGGGCAGAGAGGTCCCGAGTTCAGTTGACTTCAGCACCCGCCTTGCTAAGTGTAATCCTAGAGTTCTTCTGGGTCCCATTCCACTCTGTCCCAGCTCTAATCTTCTTGGTCCCTTCTTAAAAACCTTCAAAGGTGCCCATAAGGTGACCTTTCTTGGAGCTCTCATGGCCTGAGTTCCACCCCCAGTGCCAACATCCTCTGCCCTCAAGGAGGCCATGAGCAATGTAAGGGCAAAGTCTCTGAGTGTCCCCACTCTAATCTGTCATCAACATGGGCATTCTAGGACATTCTGAATCTGGAACACCAAAATGTTCTTTTCTCTTTGATTGACATGGCATACCAGAGCCAAGAGGATTCAATAGGGTGAGTGTGCCAGCAAGGACTGATGACTTGGCCTCAGGCTGTCCTGGGCATGGCCAGAGCTCTCCCATGATGGCCTCCATCACTTCCCCAGGCAGGGGAGGAATTCTGTGAACCATCCTCAAACTCAGTGGCAGATCCCAGCAGTTGGCAGGGTCAATGCTGACCCAGTCTGTGCTCCCACATGTGGGCCATTTCAAGTCCTGGTCCTCCAGGCTTAGAGGAAGGTGAGTCAATGGCGGAGAGGGACGCTGCCCTCTAGAGTCCCTCAGACTGACAAAGGGACACCAAGATCACCAGGTCCCTAAGAGGATTCCTCCTCACAGCTAGGCTCTTCATCAGACCCTGGCCTGAGGATAAAGTACATGTGAGGAGACAACCTACTCTACTGCATAAGCAAATCCATGGCAGATCCTCATTCCCTGCCAGCCTCCAGCGTGCCATCTGTGGGAGATCTCACTATACTCCCTATGTTCCCCTACAGGGTCTCACTCCTTTTCACCAAAATACTCCAAGTAGCACCTAGTGAATCAGGAGAGGTGCTGCCCTGGAGTTGGGAGATATCCAACATCCTGCCTCAATTGTGATGCCCTTAAAGGGTGTAGTGTGGAGGGTCTGGGAACCTAAACCTATAGCAACGGCTGTTTCTTCCCCCACAAAAGCAGCCACAGCCTATTATTTTCCTAAACTCATTCAGAAACTCCAAATATACATTTGGAAGAAACGCCAATAAGAATATTCTACTCATGCCCACTGAGGAAGACTGGAAGCAGGGACCTGGGCCAGAACAGGAAGTCATCGAAGTATAAGTAGTTTTCTTCATGGGAAGGAAGAAAGAAAAGACCCACTCAGGGTGGTGACGCTTTCTCTCCCTTGTAGGATGAGTTTTCCATGACACCTGGGGAATCCTCCAAAAGGAGACTATCAACTTACATCCAAAGGAATCCAAAGAGCAAAAGTTCCTTTCTCTATTTCATCAATGAAAAGAAAAAAAAAAAAAAAAAAACAGAAAACCATTGAGTCACTCAGAATGGACAGAAACTCATCTTTGATTCTTCTTTAGTCTCAAGGTCACCTGGCACATGGGCATTAATCCAAACGACTACCTCCCCTTCCATCCATCTCTGTCACCATCAAGAAGAAGTTAAAACAATCAACCAAAGAAAACCACCAAACAGTCCAACCAAAAGACTCCTGGATGGGGGTAGCGGGGTCCAGATGCTCCTCCTGGGTCTAGATAAGACATCTATCAAGAAATCATCCACCTCGTCTTTCTGTTCCCTCCCACCTGGTCCACTTTCCCCAGCACAGAAACAGGCATTTACCTACTTAACCTGGCTCCTCTCTCCCCAGCATAGGTGCAGCTGACCCCATGGGAGAGGTGGGGTGGAGGGTGGCTATTGGGAGCACTAGATGAAGGAGGCATGGGAAAGGCACATCTGAGGATAGGTTAGACCCGGGGACACATGACTGGATGCCAAGGGGCAGGAAGCAGAGTTTGAGGTCAGCGTGAATGCCAAGCAGAGGAGCAGGACACAGGAAGAGCCTGGCTGGACAGAACGGCCAGCCTAGAATGGAGGGAGCTGAAGGCAGGGCTGGGCCAGGAGGGGAGAGGGAGGGCTTGCTATCCTCAGGGGAAAGGAGAGATGTCACAGGAATCCAGCAACTACAGGAAGCACCATCTGTGCTGCAAATGTCCAGAAAACAGAAAACAAAACAATGGAATACCCATTTCTACTGGGCAGAATCTACAGAAGGAGAGAAAAAGAGGGTGCCATAGGAAAATGAGAACAAAGCACACAGAACCAACCGCCCAGGAACAGTAGCATACAGAGCAACGTAGCTGACCTCTGAAATAAACTTGAACCAGTGGGTGACATTCCCTACCCATGAGTGACTCTGCAAGGCCAACCATCCATAACATTCCTGGAATGCATTCAGAGCCCGGGGGGAATCCATCTTCAAGGGCATTTTTAAAGAAATATCATTTATATGCCAAACATCATATGGCACTGAGTCTCCTTTGTAAAATGGGAAATCAGGATGACAGGGGACAGTGTGCTAAGAGGGGATCATCAGAGCTAATCTCCTATCTACTTGCCTCTCTCTCCTGGTCAGCAGCCTGTCTCTGCTTCTCCACCAAATTCCCTGTGCCCTTTTCTGAACCTCTCCTATAGATCTGAAGCCCAGCAAGAGTTCCACAGCGGGACCCAGCATCCCGAGTTGCAGCATCAGCAACAACCCCCGCACTCTGTGTCAAGCCCCCCTGCCAAACGCTGAATCATCCCGTTCCCTTTATTTCCTCATTTCACAGTGAAAATACCTTCTACTTATTAAAGAATAAAAAATGATTTGCAATCCCCTCATTAGGGGGTTGAAATGTGAGTGTGTATGAGTGTGTATTTCGAAAACACTGAATCAAAAGGTTTGGTTCCTAAGAACCAAAAATCCATACTTCCTCCCCAGTGGCCATGGGGACACGCCACACTTCCCTAACAGAAGTCACAATGGCATCTGATTGTAAGGATCTTTTCTAGTTCTCTAAATTGTTATTTAATAATAGAACTGGATAGCAGTTGTTTCAAGATGTAGTTCTCGCTTCCAGAGTCCCCCTCTCAGACAAGACCCAAAAGTTGGGCCTCCTTCCCCTGTGCTCCTGCGTGTGCATAACCTAGGCTGAGGTTATCTGTCAGAGCCCATTTCTGGAATGTGAACCCCTTAAGGGCAGTGATTATATCTTATTATCTCTGGACACAGGAAACTTCTGCTCATGTTCACTGAACTACTGGTGGAATGAACTTGAATTCTCTCTCCGTCTCCCTCTCCCTTCTCCTTAAAGAATGGAAATACAACCATGCAGCATCCTGCAGAGGTACCAGGCCCAGCATGACTATGTCACCACCATTCCTTGCCTTACTTGGATCCACTTTTAGCAGCAAAAACAGCCATTACAAACCTAAAGGTAGAGGAGAGGGAGGGGTAAAGGATGAAATTCTAAATTGTAAAAGAAGAAAATTATAAAGGCACAGGAAGGGGAAGTGGAGAGCTAAGGAACATAATTCCTCGCACTGCTTTAGCAAGCTGCCACCTTCTATGTTTGCTTGGGGATGCCATTCTTGGAAAGTCTGGACTAGATGGAAAGCCAAGGAGCTGTGGATGGCTGATCTTGTGCCAGCGGGATGCAGAAAGCCAAACGTGAATGCTGAGAAATGATGGCGGGGATATCAAATCCAAGAGGCGTCAAGTGTGCTGCGGCAAGCCCAGACACCCTCTGCTCAGGCCAACCAGCCCACCCCTAGACAGCAGTAGCAGGAGCTTACCTGGCGCGCTCAGGCACGGGCTGCAGGCCCACGCCGGATGGAGAGAGCGCAGGAGCTGCGGGACTGTCGGGCACCTGCTCCAGTAGGGGCGATGGCAGAGGCGCAGCAAGCTCTGCGGGCGGGGCGGGAGGCTGCATGGAGGGCGGGGCGCAGGACGCTTTCCGACCAGCTGAGGAGCCTCTTCGAGCCACCCAAGATGTATCCATGACCCTCACACCCATGCTGGCGAGGGATACAAAGATACCTGCTTACCCACGCGTGACAGGTGACAGGCTCCCTCCCCCACGAAACGGAGACATTCAAGCAGGTCCGTGTTAGGAGAAGAGCAGCACAGCCTTAGCACCCTCCTGGGCCTGGGAAGCGATGCGCAGCGGTAGGGGAATGGCCAGCAACGCTCCAAGCGCCCAGGCTGCTGGGGGCCAGCGAAGATGCAGCCCCTGCGGCCCACGCTTGGCAGGAGCAGCCCTCCCACAGTGGCAAGGCTGCAGCAGGGCATAGTCAGCAGCTTGGGAGTTGACGAGCCGTATGTCAACCCTCTGCCAAAGCCAGCTGTCCTTGAGATAATGGCCCAACAAGCTCCCTGGGTGTGGAATCCAAGCTGTTCTCAGAGCACAATGTGGCCTAACTGGGGGAGGGTGTGGTGGTGGGGATGTCCACTTCCCCCAAGTGGGAGAAGGAGGTGGGTGGGGCAAGGACAGAGAGCACTAGACTAGAACACTGAACCAACCAGCAGGAGACATCTAAATAGTCTTCTTTTTGTTATGTGGGATTTGGCCCTTGATCCACCACTGCTGGGCACCTGGCCACACCTGCTTGCCTACATAGCGGGGGAAGGGGCTGCTCATGCCTATGGTCCTTCCAGGCTTTGAGTCTATTTTAATGATGGGCACACAGCTTCAAGTAAGTCGGCCAAGCAACCAAACGTGGCACATTCACCTTCTCACAGAGCTCACTACAACACAGTTGGCTTAGTTTGAAATTGAACTTGGCCTTGTAGCTACCAGAGGATACTGTACCTTTGGATTTTCCTAAGGCTGCAGGGACAGAAACATACAGATATTAGTGTCAACAAATCTACACCTTCCTTTGGACATAAGGGTTGTCTTTCTGCAAGGAGGGGCGTCTCTTGCCATAGGGTTTTGGGAGGGGTTTTTATTGTGCCATTAAATCATTACAATTTGCTTGGTTAAAGTGATTTTACTGTTTGTAGAGGTGAAAACCACATAGGTGAATAAAGAGAGCAGCCAAGAGTCAATATTACTGAGGGATGGGAAGAAGTCATAATGAAAAAAGAAATTGGTACAAGTAGCCATTTGCCCTCTTCTTGGTCCTATGGACTTGGAAGGAGGTTGGTTCTCATTGGACAACTGGTCCTATGATTCTTAGATAAGAGATTCATTGACTCAGGTAAAAGCTCACATTTTTAGTAGGAAAGGAGAAAACACTGTCCTGCCTGCATTTGTCTCTAGTATTTATATGCACAGTGGGGCGGAGGTACCAGGGCTATTATGTGCTTACATGGCCTCACACTACCAAATGGTCATCTGCACTGGTCAGAAGCACCAAGGTAAAATCTTGCTCATGTAAAATGGTCATATTTACCTTGACACAGTATTAAAAACAAAAAGTTTAATTTCAAAGATTGGATGCAGCAGATGGGGTTTGGGTCATTTAAGGACATATCTAGGATGGACCTGCAGTGAGGGACCCAGAGGATGCTAAACCAAGCACATCTGGAATGGGGACAGATTCTTGACACACTTCCTCCCAAGGATCACCAGAGACCCTTTTACATTTTATACATACAGATGTACACTTAGTTGACACTTTTCATCTCCCTTGGATTCCTTAAAATGGACGGGGTGTAGGAGGGATGTCTTTTTCCAGGATTCACTAGCTTTCAAGTCATTTGGGTTATAAGTACCTTCTGTAAGCTGTCCAGAAACCCTCTTAGAGGCTACTCAAATTTCTGGGCCACAGCCCCATGTTTGACCCCCTTATATTTAAAGTGGGTTGTGGGGGATTATCAACCTATGCTTTCTGGGCTTCAGAATTTATCAGGATGAAAAGAGTAAAAGATTTACTCTTTCACTTGGGGAAAAAAGAGCTAGTAACACTTATTTGCAATGGTCAGTAAGGATGGCAGGAGTGTGAGATGTGTCCTATGGTGACCAGCAAAAAGAACCCTGAAAGATGCAAATCCCACCCCATCTTCTCTTCCTTGCCCTATTCCATTCTGCTTGGAAGGATCATTCCTTCCAAGGGGGAGGGTCAGGATCAGGACTGGTGAGGGGATGCCTTCTATTTCCAATGGCATCTTACATCCTCAGACTCCAGGCTACCAAGAGAAGGAGCAGCTTGGGCATGGGGTGGGTGGGTACCATCGGAACCCTGCTAACTATCACTGGGAAAGGTCAGCAACTGAGAAACATGAGCTGAATGGATTCTTTTGCCTTTACAAAGAGGTTGCTGTCTTGTAAGTAATCACCACTCTGACAGCTGAAACCATTCTATTACGGCCGACAGCACCGCATGCTCACGGTGAACACGCATCCAGTGTTCACTGACATTTTCAGTAACATAAATCTTTACGGAGCAGGCCAATCACACAGGCAGCAGCATCTACACATTTAGAGGCCTAAGTCTGTTTACCTCTAGAAGCACAGTGGTATACTGAAATGTCTGGATGTCTAAGTAAAACTCAGCTCAGAGACAGGAATTACAAAATTGGTCAGTATGCTCCCAAGGAGGGGAATCTGCTCACAAATTGGGAAATTCAATGAGAAGGTTGTATCAAGAGTTCACAAGTTTCTATTCATTGCTGAATTAAATAAAGAAGCAACAGTAACCAGGCTCAAGGAACTGCTTGTGAGTTTTTTGGTTTGGTTTTGTTGTTGTTTTAGCACTGAGGTTTGAACCCAGGGCACTTCACTGCTGAGCAAAATCTCCGCGGTCTTTTTGTTTTTTTCTTTTGACACAGTGTCTCACTAAGTTGCTGACACTGGTCTCAAACTTAGGATCCTCCTGCCTCAGCCTCCCAAGTCGCTGGGATTACAGGCATGCATCACTATGCCCAGCTTGTGTTTCTTAGGAGACAACAAATGAAGAGGAATTAATACAAGAACAACTGACTTTGGTAGATGCTGCTGCATGGAGACCTAAAGTCATTGTAGAGGTCAAGACTTCCCATGGCCTGCTGCTTCTGGTGAAAACTGAGTGACTCAGCTTCATAAGTGAAGTTGAATCAAGGTGAAAGCAAGGAGCCAGGGGCTGAGAAGAACCTCTAAGAAGCAAAGGTCTTGGAAGTCAATGAGCAGGAGGCACAAGGCAGAGTCCAGGAGCCACCCTCCATGTAAGTGGCTTTTCTGGCTCTTCTGTGCCAGCAAGGTGACAGGGGTGGAGGGCTTGCAGAATCAGGGCAGGTGAGCCTGAGAGGCTGTCTTCACTGCTCTTTTTTACAGTAAGAAGGTTAGGGACGAGGAATCTAGAGTTGTCACCTGCATTCAGTGAGCATGCCACATGACAAGTCTTCAGGCAGCCCCACTACAATATAATCCTTGCTGCTTCACTCCTCCCTGCCCATCGGCATCTTATGTTTCTAAGAGGTCTGCCATAACCCACACTTTTGTATTTTTCATGAAATTCTAATAAAGAATATATTCTGAAATGACCTCAACTTCCAAGCCCAATTAAGAGACTCATTGACACAATAGAGTTCTCATCTACAGAGTAAGGCAAATACTTTCCTCCCTGCTTCCAGCATTTTCAAGAAGGTCATTATCAATATTGGATGCTAAGATACATTTAGCATGTACTTGCACTATTACCTAGTGGCAAAAGCTGAACGTGGATATTATAGGTCCCAGGATTATTATATTATAGCAACTACGATGTATCCCCTCACAGTTCTGGAGGCTAGAAGTCCAGAATCAGTACCTCTAAGGTCAACTGAGGTGTTGGCAGGGCTGTGTTCTCTCCAGGGGCTCCAGAGAATCCCCCTGTGCCTCAATAAGGTAATGGTGGCTGCTGATTTTTCTTGGCTTGTGACTACCATCTTCAAATCTCTCTGTTCCATTTTCAAATCTCCTCTGTGTAGTATAGTGAAATCTACCCTGTCTCCTTCCTATAAGGATGCACGTTATGTCACGTAGGGCACAGGGTAATCCAGAGTAATCTCCTTATTTCAACATCCCTATTTTTATTATTATTTTTAATGTTTATTTTTTCGGTACCAGGGATTGAACCCAGGGACTATCACAATGAGGTCTATCACAATGATGAGAATATGTATGTGAGCGCCTGAATCTGATCCTGCAATTTGCTACAGAAACTCAGCATCCTGTGTCATCATGAACCAGAAAGGCATCAGGAACAAAGCTCTAAGTCACGAGGGGAGCAAACTACCTTATATGATATCTAGGATGTAGAAGCCATTAGTCCAGGAAAATGTCATTGGCATTTGCTGCGGAACTTACCATTTCTATAACACTTCTATCAGGTTTATCTGTCCAGAATTTTCTTCTGTTTTTTTTTTTAAAGTAACAGTTCTATTTTTTTCTTTACCTTTTTTTGTAATTGTTTCATTTTCTTAAAGTAACATTTTTATTGATATATAACATATATATCAATATATAATTTATATAATTATATATGTATTTTACATGTGTGTGTGTAATTTTCTTTTTTTAACCTGGCCAAAAAACCTCCATACTATGAGCTTTCATTAGTCAGTGTTTCAATGGGTAGTTTGAAGACTTCAGGATGTAAACTTTAAAATCTCAGAAATGAGGAGAAATATGGAGGATTTCCCTAACATTGCTAAGACAAGAACTCAACGGATGTAAATTATTTTCTTCTACCCTAAAAAACTTACAATTTGGGGTTTTTTGTTCTCTGAAAGCCAGTTTAGAACTGATCACCAAAAGTTCACTACATCTTAAAGCACACCCAGTCACATGCTGCTGAACGGCAGTACATGTTATGAGAACTGTTGTCACTTAGGATCCCATTGTTGTGCAACTGGAGTGTACTTACACAAACTAAGATGGTATGATGTCTCTGGGTGAAATGCATGTCACACATGTGGTCCATCGTAGACCAAATATCATTATGTGGCACACAATGGTATGTTGAGTCTTAGCCTCCATCAGTTCTTTGAGGGTTCCCTAAACCAGGAAGATCTCCACCTCATGTGAAATACAAATTTCAAAGTATACACAATATATTCTATTTCATGTAGAACAATAATTTATATAGTACATCTCCTAGACCCTCCGAGTAGATAGTGGCAATTTCAACTTTAGATCATAATGGCACACAGAAGGGACATCTCATTTACAAAGTTCTGAAATAAGAGGACTTTGTTAATGCTTTTGCATTTGCCCATGTCTGTAGGGGGCCAATGGTACTTGACCATCCTGGTGATTTGCTAACTCCCTCGTCGAAGACATGTGAATTGCTTTTTAGGGAAAATAGAATCAGAACAGGTCTGGCAAGACAGAGTAGTCCTCATTGATGCAGAAACACCCAGGACCAAATCTGAGGTGTTCTCTATACCCCTGCCCAGACAAGCACTGACCCTCAAGGGCAGCCCCTCGACGTAGTGAATGTATGAAGGAACTGAATTACTACTTATGAGATTTAAAAATAAATTCCAGTGCATTGTCTAATTCTCTGCCTCTGCTTCTCCCAGATTCTAATTTCACTCCTTTTTATGGGTTTAAGAAGTTTTCCCTTCTTTCCTTGAATGTTTAAGAACTTGATCTCTCCCTACTAAACAGAGAACAATAAACTACAGCAATGTGCACAGAAACAGCCCCCACTGCCTCACACATACAGGTCACTGATCAGCAAGGTAACACTGGCCACCCTCAAGACCCCACCAGGACACAGGCTTGGGTCTCTTCTACAACTCTAGTCCCCAGTGCCAACTCTCATTTGGAATAAATAGGAGTGAAAAGGGAAACCCCTACACTTCTGTACTTCTAGGGTTTTCACCCCTCCCTCCTATCCCTTTGGGCCATTTGCCTTTCAAACAGATCTTTCTGAGTACCCGGTGGTTGATCAGAAAGGGGAATGTTTGCTGTTATCTGAATTTCTGTTACTTTCATTCAGTGCTTTATGCTCCCATGTATCCTGAAGGAGCAGTTACTAAATTTTATTTTGTGGTGGTGATTTTAAATTCCCAGCCAAAGTTTACTCATTGGACCTGCTTGACCAAGCCAGGCAACCCATTTCTTCTGCATCAAGGATGCCCTACGGACTCTCATCCAGCCACAGACTTCGGTTGCCAAGGCAGAGCTAGTACTTCCCATGACTCATCAGAGCTTGTTACAAAACCTGCTTCTGCCCATCTTGCTTGCTACGAGAATCATATCATCTAGTCAAATACTATGTAAATTCATTTAATATGAGTGTAAAAAGGGTTGTTCCTGTGCACTCTCACACGTGAAGTTGGATGCATTAATTAAGAACTGCACTGAAGTAAGATAGGTGTCAAATATAAAAGACAGGGGGAAAAAAATCTCAAAAACCTATAAAAATTTTACGCTTGGAATGCACCAAATTTTAGGTTTTCTCTCTAAAGATTGAAACTGGAAATGTTAAATTATGCATTAAAAGCATTATTTATGCAAGGATGTTTCTGAAGAGTGTAACTGAGCAAATCTACAATCAAAGTAAAGCCACAAAAGAGTCAAGAAGTGATATACATTTACACATTGTTTTTTTCTTTTTCTGGTGCTGGGGATGGAACCCAGGACTTCACACATGCTAATAAGTACATGCTCTTCCACTAAGCTAAACCCTCAGCTCCACATTTACATACTTTGAGTCAAAATGAAATATTTATATATTTTTAAAAATTATCCTTATTGACCAACTTTAATTTCTTTGATGAGAACTAATCAATACTGATCACAATTGTCAGCTAAGAAAGCTATACTTAACTCTGGCCCCAAGGGAGGCAAGCCAGAGAGACCCATTCCAGATAGGGCAGTTTCAAGAATGAGTTCAGTGTTCAATTGCTACTGGTCACCAAGATGTGGTAGTAAGTGCAACTTCCTGTGTCAATCCTGTTTCTTTCCTTACCTTTCACTCCCTCCCCGCAACTTTCCCAATCCCCAAGACTGAAAAAGGGACACAGCTTCATACCCATCCTTTTTGTAAAACTCCAGCATCATATTATCCGTGGCGACACTGAGGGGCCGGCGGGCCTGCTCGGGCTGGCGCCGGTCAGCGGGGTCCATGTCTGGGGAGGGCATTGAACTATAGTTGGCATTATGGTTCACGTGCACCGGACTCCCATAATTGCCTGTAATGTTGAACTCTATCTCTGCAGGGAAGAGAGAATTGGTATACTCACCTTAATAATACCATTTATCCTATTAATAGGACAAAGAAGAGAATACATGTGGTCACGCAGACTGGCATTTAATAAAAACAAAAGTCCATTTGTGTTTTTTTTCAAAATCCAACAAAACTTAATAAAATAGAAGCCCTTGGATACTTTCTCAAAAAGACAAAATCAGCTTAGTCAAACATCATGCTTTAGAGCAGTCCTAATGTAATCAGGAAAACAGCAACATCCACCCTGGCTATTTTTATTTATTATTATTTGAGAAGTGCTAGCCATTGAAATTGGTCATGAAAAAAAGTCAATATTAAGATTTGTAAATGATAATATAGTCCTACTATAAAACTGAACAGGATACATTTTTTTTTAAAGTTAGAAATAGGAAGAATTTTCATTGAGGTATTTGTTAGTTCCCAAAGAGATACATTTTTTTTTGGTCAGTGGGAATGGATTTGCTCTGCTCAATTCTGCCTGTCCATGATGTAATGAATCAGCTTATCCACAGCACATGAAGAATTATTGCCTCCGACTCTTATTTCCTTTATTTCTTTATCTTCGCTTCCTAGCCTCACCTAGCTTTGTGCCATCAATAGAGCTCTCAGAAGATCAGCCACTCAAACACGGTCAGCAGAAGAAAGATGGCCAAACTTCTTTGATTTCCTCTGAGGACTAGAGGGGTTCACCTTCGCTTGAGTTAGTGGATGTTGCTGCATAGCTAGAAGCATCCTCCTAATATTTACTACCCATAATGTCACAGCATCAGTTTTTTTTTCTCAGTAAACCCTAAATTTAATGTAACCATTGCCCTCTCTTTAAAACTATCACCACTGCTAGATACGATGACGAATACCTTAATCCCAATGACTTGGGAGGCTGAGGCAGAGCTTGGGCAACACAGTGACTCTGTCTCAAAATAAAAAGTAAAAATGGGCTGAGGATGTGGCTCAGTGGTAGAGCACCATTGGGTTCAACCCCCAGTACCCAAAACAAACAAAAACAAAAATATCAGTCAAAGCTGAAAGACATGTACTTAGGCAATGATGCTTCCATGGCTCAGGACATGTCTTAAATTCCCTCTTAGAAAGCTGCCTTGAGAAGCTAATTTTAAATTAGGCCAAAAAAAAAAAAAAATCTGCCTTTGTACATGCTAAGGGGCAAATCAAAGGGTACAACTTAGGGCAATGAAAGGGCAATATCCAGATGATCTGTGAGCCCTGAGGGTTTGGAGAAGAGGATTTCTCTCCTCTTTCTGCAACCGGCAGGGCATGATTCACAGACCTGAAGGAACCATGGTATGAAACCAGTAGAATCTATGGACCTCATTGGCACCCACAGCAGACACATTCATGCCAGAACATCCCTCGGCATGGATAAGAGAACAGGAAGCTGCTATGACAGTACCAATACCAGTGTGTGTGTGTGTGTGTGTGTGTGTGTGTGCAAAGATTAAAAGCAAGACCAACAAAAGCCCTGGGGGCCGTGGTCCTTGGTTTCAAAGAGTTCTGAACTCACAGATCTCCCTGCTCCCCGCCTCTGATCCCCCAACCCAATGCCGCCACGTACCCCCAGGGAAGAACCAGTCTGCGTGCTGGATGATGGGCTCGATGATCCCAACGATCTGCAGCGAAACTGTGGTCATCATCTCAGTGATGTTTCTGCAAGCACAGAGCAAAGGAGGGCAGGATGGGGTCACCAGCCAAGGCAGGATGAGGGATCCTTGGTCCTCTAGCTATTGAGCCCAGGAAGGGATCCTGGACTGGAACCTTGCAGGCCTAGGTTTGTGAGCTGGCTTTCTCTCAGGAAGGACACTTCACCTTTCTGAATGGGGACAACCACAGGTAAATGAATAGCACCCATGAAGGCACTTTTAGCATGAGGTACAGTTCTCATCACTGCCGAGTTCCTCCTCTTTCCAACTCTGAGGTCTCCTTGGAGACAACCCTCCATCCCTCTGAATCTTGGACAGAGTCCAGGGTGCCTGAGAGACTTTGCCTTGCCTGGTGTCATCATGTCCCTCGTCTTCCCTCTCTTCATGCTGATGCTGACCTGGGTTAACTTGGAGAAGACCCTTCCTTCAGACCCACAGCTCTGAGAGCATCAGTGAGGGAGGTCTGCACAACTCTGTGCATTCCCCCATAAAGGGAGTGGTCCATGACAGAATGAGGACTTGAAATATAAATAAGGCTGGTGATGATCCAGGAATGATCCAAGGAATGCCCCTGCATGCCCTCTTGCACCCCTGCCACACTGCCCACAGGGCTCCCCTCCCTTCACTCACCCTTCTGCTTGCGGCCAGAGGAGGTTGGGTCCTAAGACAATTGCCATGTTACTGGGAGTCATCTTGTTTATATCTTGATATTCTGACAGCTTCGATAAAAATTTGATCAAGTATCTGAAAAGAAATGAGAAGGGCCACGTTTAACTAGGGCTCCACACCAGACAGGTGTGCCGACACTTCTCTCCAGTAGCACATCTTACTGACAGCGAGACTCATATATCCTGCAGTATAATGAAGACATATCATGTATCAGGAAATGAGAAATCTGTATTCTCTTTGCAAAAACGAGACAGACTCAGATCTTACTCCGCAAGATGCGAAACATCTGCTTCAATGAACACTGGACAGAAAAAACTCTCCATCTTTCCTTCTGACTGAGAGGTGGTGTCCTCTGCAATTACCCTTAGTCAAGCTTTCTGGAAAGATCCAATGATGAAAATAATGAACACAGGCTTAGCATGTGATCCAGCAATTCCACTCCCAGGGGTATATCCAAGAGAAGTATGTCAACACATAAACTGGTAGATGAATGCTCGGAGCAGCCCTATTCACTATAGCCAAAAAAGTGAAAATCAACCATAGGTTCATCAAGGGATGAACAGGTAAATATGAAATATGGAATGTTATGCAGCCACAAAAAAGAATAAAGAACTGACATATCTCACTACATGAATGAACTGTGAACACATTATAAGTGAAAGAAAAGTCAAGATACAGGAGACTACATTATGATATCTATAATATGTAATATCCAGAATATGCAAATCTATAGACCCAGAAAGTAGATCAGTGGTTGCCAGGCCCTGAGCTGGGGAGTGGGAAGATGAAAAGTGATTGCTGATAGGAACTGGGTTTCTTTCTGGAGTGGTAAAAAAAATCTCTAAAATTAGTATTGACAGTTGCAGAACTCTTTGAATGCACTAAAAAACTAAACATGACATACTTTGAAAGGTACAGTGATGTGTGAATACATTAAAGATAATGTTTTTAAAAAAATAAGAAATTATGCACAAATTCAGCACAACAGAACAGCTTTGGAAAAACCACATTAAAAACCCACATTTCCTCCTAGACTCTGAGTTCCAAAAGGCTGTGGTCCTCATCCTGATTTGCTCAGGTCAGAGTGAAGCAACTTCCTTAGAAGTTTTCCACATGTCTTCTGTCAAGAGGACCAGACATGGAGTCCTACCATGTCGTCACTATGCTGTCACTGGGCCATCTCTACCCAAAGCCTCTCCCCACCAGGCCTCATGCCCTCCAAGAGGCCACAAAGGAAGAGACCAGGACATAGAAAGCTGGGGATCATCAATCCATAGGCTGTGGTCACCAACGTGAGCTGAGTACCAATCTAATTTTTGCTCTTGGGATTTTTTAATTATAGTAATATACATAACTATTTACCATTTAGACCCATTTGTAGGTATATATTTCAGTGGGGTTAAGTAGATTCACACTGATACCAGGTCATCACTACTATCTATCTCCAGAACGCTTTCATTTTCCCAAACCAAAATGGTACCCATTCAACATTAACCTCAGCATTCGACTCTGCCCCTGGCCCTGGCCGACATCATGTGACTTTCTAAGAATTCAATTACCCTAGGTAACTCACATAAGGGGAATCATAAGCCTTTGTCCTCTGGTGCCTGGTTTCTTTCACTTAGCATCAAGACCAAAGATTCATTCATGTTGTAGCAAGAACCAGAATCTCATATCCCATTGTATGTATAAGCTATATTTCATTTATCCATTTATCCATCTGTGGACTCTTTGGTTACTTCCACTTTGGACTACTGTGAATCATGCTGCTGTGAACCTGGATATCCAAATACCAAGTCCCTACTTTCAGTTCTTTTGGGAATATACCAAGAAGTGAAATTGTTGGATCATATGGTAGTTCTATGTTTAATTTTTTTTTTTTGGTCCTAGGGATTGAATTTAGAGACACTTAACCACTGAGTCACAGCCCCATCCTTTTCATTTTTCATTTAGAGACAGGGTCTTGCAAAATTGCTTAAGGCCTCATTAAGTTGCTGAGATTGGCCTTGAACAATCCTCCTGCTTCAGCCTCCTGACTGCGTCAACCACGCCCAGCATGTATGTTTAATTTTGAGAAACCACTATTTGATTGCTGGTGAGATTTTTTTATATTAATTTTTTTTTAGTTGTAGATGGACACAATATCTTTATTTTTATGTGGTGCTGAGGATTGAACCCAGTGCCTCACATGTGCGAGGCAAGTGCTCTACAACTGAGGGACAACCCTATCCCTGCTGGTGGGATTTTTAGCAAGAAAAAAGAGAAACAATTAGGCAGATGGTTGCAGATGCTAAAGCTGAAAATCTGCATCCAAAGAAGCTCAGAAGAGAGGCGGCAGGCCAGGAGGGGTGCTGGCAAGACACTGTGATGAGAAAGCAGAAGCCCGGGGAAGGGGGAAGATCTGCAGCACGGGGAGAAGTCCAGTCCAGATATTAGCAAGGTGAGAGGCAGAAGTGGAAAACATCTGGGTTGAATGAAAGGTTGAGTGAAAGGTGCATAATACTCTCCTTTGCCTCCTCTTCCTGTGACTAGTTGAAGGACACCTCTGCCTCTGCCAGCTCCAGCGCTGGTCAGCTTATAAGGTTCCAGGAACATCTTACCTTTACCATAAGTTCCAATATCTGAAGCTAGGGTGCAGATTTCTTCACTCCTTGCAAATCAAAGAACTTGAGTGAATTAGACAATAGCTAGTTAGGTAGCCTCCAGCACCATACAGAGGCTGTGAGCCTGTTTCCTTCTCTGCAAAATGATAATAACAATCCCTGCCTTACCTCACAGGTTGAGGCTAAAAAGAGACCCTATGTGCCAACAACACACCACAAAAGGCTATGCACACAGGTTACTGTGACTTTTCCCCAGGGAACTGCATATCTGAGGCTCAAATAAGCTGATCCTTGTGTCTCCAGTACCCACTTACCGGATTTTTTTTTTAACTTTTTTATTTAGTTGTAGATGAATATGATTTATTTATGTATTTATTTTTATGTGGTGCTGAGGATCGAACCCAGGGCCTCATGAATGCAAGGTAAGCGATCTACCACTGAGCTACAACTCCAGTCCGCACTTACCGGATGTTGTTATGATTGGCCTTGGGCAGTTTCTCACAAGCATTCCACAGGGCCTGGAGCCTCTTCTCCTGCTCCTGGATACTGGGAAAACGATAGGAAAAGCCACTGGTTGAGCATGATTCAATGAATCCCCATTGGCAATCATATTAACCAGTCATTCTCATATTGGACAAGAAAGAGCTAACTACTATAACTGACCCGTAAGAGCAAGGTATTATTATTTAAAATGTTTGCGTATAATTATTTTACCTTCTTTGCTATCCTTCTATCTTGGCCTGCACTAGTCCAACACAATTTTCTCTGTATGGTGAAGTATGCCAGGATAGCAGTTAAGGGAACGGGACAGAGGCCTGAGGCCTGCTCTGGAGTACAGGGTTACAGGGTTGTCAGGAGACGCAGGACACCAGTCAGGGAGTCCAACTCTGCACACTGTAGTGGCTGCCTGCCATCCAGTTCAATGCATAGTGAAGTATTTAGATGATGCTACATATTATATTAAGATATTACTGCTTCTTAATTTTCCTGACATTTGGCATATAATAGATCCTTAATAAAAATACCTGTAAATAAGGAGATTACATAGACATGAAGAAATCTGACCCTTCAAGATATAACTCAGGAAATAGATAACTTCCAGTAGCTGAAGGACTTTTTTCACTATGCAAAAATGATTTACTCTTAGAATTAAATAAATATGTATTATTTAAAAGATGACATTTTTTTATATAAATCTATATTAAGACCCACATCAGAAAAGCTTTATGCTCAAAGAATCCTTTCTCAAGAAAAACTGAAAGATAAACAGCATCAGGGTGAGGCCCAACTCCAACCTGTTGACCCGGGACCCACAGCCGAGGTGTGGCTGTCACCTGCACACTTCATTGCTGGGTACTCCAAGGTCCTGCTGTTGATTCTGACCAAGGTGAGAAAACTGACTTTCCTCATTTCTGCCTCAAGAAAGAGGCAGGCATTCTCCACAAGGATCTTGAACCAGGAGGCTAGAGTGAAAACTAAAGGTTCTATTCAGAAATTGAAAGGTGACAGAAGATGCGTTAAGGAGTTGTCATGGGTCTCTAGCCTGGCCAAGGCGGGGTTTTGCGTGGGAAGAAAGACCCAGCTCCATCCTGTGATCTTGTGCCAACTCCCCAACCTCTGTGAGCTCCTGTTTCCTCCTCTGTACCGGGTTCACAATAATATTTTGCTCACAGAGCTGCACCAGAGGTCTAAAGAAGAAGCAGTCCAAAGCAGCTGGTCCTGCTGCTGGCTCATGCAAAGTTCGACATCATTGCTAAGTAGCCATCTGCAGGCTGCTGTTGTCACCTCTGTCATTTGCTGAGGCATCTTCATTGGCACCAAACCCCACTCCCTTTTCTGATCTTTGACCTTTTGAAGGTGACAGTTCATAGGAAGCTGCTACTTTAGAGGAGCCTGGAGCACTGGGCCACGGCAGCCCAGACCAAACCAGAAGGAGATAACTTGTTTTAAGTGCCATGCAATCAGATGGAACTCTGAAAAAGACTAATTTTTCCAAAAATAGAAGATTCACAACAAGCAAATCAGAAGAGGCCTTGCTTTCCTCAGCCTGCATGACAAGGAAGTCCTCTCTGCTTTAACACTGTAAGGAATGTCACTTTGAGATAACCAGTCCACTTTTGGTTCTGCTGGACTTCCAGATGCCCCGTCCCTGGCCGACTGTATTTTAGGAATCTGCCTGCAATCCAATGCCCTGTTAAGGTGGGTCAAGGTTATCCACCCAACAGCCTTGAGAGCTTTGAAACACAGAACCCAGAGGAATGGTCACCTGAATCTCCACCGGCATCTTTTAGAAGCTTCCCAGGAGAGTCTGATGCACACAGAGGGTTAAAAACAATCGCTTCAGGCAAAAATGACTTTCTCGAGAAGGTGTGACCTTAAGTGGAAGGCACCATCATCACCAAGAGCCTTCAGCATGACATGTTTATAATCCAGTGTGAAAATAAGTTCTTTTTCCCTAGGTTCAAAGACACCGACTACTTCGGGTCACTGGATCATTCCTATTTCCTAATGGAGATCCACCTCTGCAAATGAGGTGAGAGGTAGAGCATCTTGGGTAGGTGGCGATGGGCTGAGCTAGCCTCCCTTTCTCTAGCTTCACATCATCCAGATCTCTTGGATATTTCATGATTTAAAAAAAGAAAAAAGGGATGGTTTTCAGCAAATGATATGTTCTCACTTGACTTCTTCCTGGGACCAGTCTTTCTTTAGAGAGGCATAAAATAGGTAAGTGCATGGACCCTGGAACTGGACTCCATGGATTCAAATTCTCATTCTGCCATACATTAGCTGGCAAGTAGCCTGCTGCTATATACCTATTCTATACCTCAAATTCCTCACCTGTAAAATGGGGGACATAGCACAAACCACTTAATTAATAAGAATTTCTGAGAAATTTAAGGAACGTAAAAATGTATAATGGGCTTAGTGCAAAGTTAAACCTCTAATAAGCACTGAAAAAAATGATACCACTTATTATAACTAGTATCCTCACAGAGTCCAACACTTGGTCTTCACAATAAGAGTACCACAGATTTGGCCAGCCTTTTACAATGCATTAAAAAAATACACTTGTTGGGGGCTGAGGATATAGCTCAGTTGGTAGAGTGCTTGCCTTGCATGCACAAGGCCCTGGGTTCAATCCCCAGCACCACCAAAAAAAAAAAAAAAAAAAAAATTACACTATTTCACTTGATTGAAGCGAGCTTCCTCTGGCTCTGCACATTCAAGTCTGGCTTCATTAAGAACTAGAAGCATCAATGATTAATGCTGGAGGTGATGGTTATACTCATTACCTGGATTTCATCATTGTATGATACATACATGGATTAAAACATCATCTTATATTCTATAAACCTATACAATTGTGAGTCAGATTTTTTTTTAAAAAGATCCATCAGAGGGGGTGGGGGGAAGAGAGAGTGTGTGTGGAAGGGGGAGGTGCATCAGTATCAGATACACACACCAGATTCTTTCTGACAGAAGACCCAGGCTGTCCTTGAGACTAAGTCCCAACACCAGAGATCTCTAAGACACCATTTCCAATCATGGCCACCTTGCTAGGATAGCTATTTGCTCCAGACTTGCTCTCATAAAACACTCTTCTCTTCTTTTCTGTCTTCTGACTGCACAATCTCTACCATTCTCTCCACCACTTTTCCTCCTGTGCCAATTCTCAACAGTGTTTACTTGAGACGTTGTTTTGGGGTACCTAGAATTGAACCCCAGACTGCTTTATCACTGAGCCACATCTCCAGCTTTTAAAAATATTTTATTAGAGACAGGGTCTCTCTGAGTTTCTCAGGGCCTCACTAAGTTGCTGAGGCTGGCTTTGAACCTGAGATCCTTCTGCTTTAGCCTCCTGAGCTGCTGGGATTTCAGGTGTGCACCACCACACCTAGCTTGAGATAGCTCTTATATCCAAAGAGAACATATAACATCCTAATACAGCAATAAACCAAGGAAAGAATGCAAGAATCAAGAAGAAGCCACACTGAGAAGCTGCAGTGTGTGACCTGGTGGTGACCCTGCCCCCAGGCTTGGCATTGCCACCATCGGGGGCCTGGCTCTGCTCCTTGCTGAGAGGCCTGCTCCCTCAGGCTTATGCTCAGGAGACAGCATCCACTACCCTCTTGTTCTGCCTTTTTATTATTAGTTATTGGTGCAATATTCCTATCACAGATGAAGACAAAGACTGCCATGGTCACTCTCATGTTCTACTGCACTCTTAGCAGGGGTCACTGCCATTGCCCGAGCGAGCCCTTCCAGAACCTTCTTTAGTGCACTTCCACATATATTGAGGCATACCTGAAATTCTACCATTTGAGTGTGTTGGGTATTTATTTTTTTTTTAGAATAGAATATCACATTGTATCCTCATTAACTTGCTTTACTCCACTCAACAATAAATCTCCATATATTTTCATATCAGCTCTGCCTAATGGTTTCAGAAAATGCACACCATAGTTTATTTAGTCAGGACTCCCACCTCCCTTGCCCACTAAATCTTTAATTAACTTGCAGGCTTCTGTTATCCCAAATTATGCTGCAATCAACATCCTTGTACATGCCTCTTTGGAAAATGTCTTCATGATGGATTTGAAATGAAATTTCCAGATCCCAGGTTACATGCTTCCCTATCTTCAATAAACATAGCCATCTTTCAGTATTCCTGGGTTCAAGATCCATGTAGTCAATTAGCCGTGGACCGTGTACTTTGCAGTTAGGGCTATGATGGTTGCATCTGCATGAACGTACACAGACTTTTCCCCTTGTTTACTGCCTAAACAATACGTTAATAAAAAATATTACACAGTGCTTACATTTTATTAGGTATTGTAAGTAATCTAGAAGTGATTTAAAGTCTACAAGATGAAGTGTGCTGGCTTATATGCAAATATTAAGTCATTATACATAAGGGACTTTGAGCCTCTGGGGTCCCAGATCTTGAGCACAGACACCAAGGGATGACTGTACATCCCCATAAACTCTGACCCGCAAGACGGTGAACACAAGGTACTCACTTGGACGCCTGGATCCACTCGTCATAGAGTTCAAAGGTCATGAGTGGTTCTGGCAACTCTCGGAGGTAAGATTTCAAAGCTCCTGAGTGTAGATACAATAATGACAATGAGCCGTTATGACCTGGCAGCCTGCAGTACCCATGTGGGTTGTCTCTGGAGACTGGCTCCCTGACCAACACAAGACCACACAGAGGCTACTCACACGAACAGACCCAGGGCTCAGGTAGGGGGACCTGGGATGACAATCGCATTGTCCCCCTTACTTCCCACATCACTACATCTTCTCCTGGAACAGTAGGAGGCCTTCCTTCAAGGGGCCAGAACAAACAGCCCTGAAACTGGGCCCTGAGTGGACACATGTGAATGAAGCCTATTGGAAAGGCCTGGGCTGGAGTGTCCTTGACATGTAACCACACCCTCTGCATGCTCACCCCTTCCCTATGCGGCCTTGCTGAGAGCATCCTGCCAACAGGCTGTGGGTGCCCACCTGCAATGGCATGGGGGTCTGCCGAGTACTCCTGCACATCCACCACACAGCAGTCCAGCGCAGCTTTCAGCTTCTTCAGCTTGGAGGCAGAGGGAGCTACTCGGAAGAGTCCCTACGTACAAAACAGAGGGTTAGCAGACAGTCGGCAACTCAAAGGTACAAGAGCAAAACCTCCAAGGTACATTCTTCTAACACCAGGTTCCCATATTGTTTCTGCCCCTTTTTTTAGGTCTCTTCCTGCAGACATAGGCAACTTGAGAGTAGGAACTGGATCTAATTTTACGCTGTGCTCTTTTCCTGCCTGATGTCAGGGTGGCTCATTATACTGGTTCGGGAAGTATCTATTGGCTAATAGAACCCTGAACACTCAAACTGTTGTTCCTGTACACTTAAGATACGTCCTGTGAAGAACTGACTGAGACCTGGTCAGACGTGGAGATCTAACAAGTGGGATGAGAAAAGGTCTATGAGGGGTGTGGGTGAATGTGCACATACACGAGGAGCAATCAAATTGCCAAGTCCTCAGAGGAAGGGCAGACTGGGGACAGGGTATGATGGAGCCTCCATGTTCCATTATTAGCATTACTTTGGTATTACCATCACTTCGTTCAAATAAGCCTCTGCACATTGTAGAGCAAAGCAAGCCAGGCACGGAAAGAAGAGGGCAGAGTGTGCAGAAGAGAAGACAAATGCTGGTCAGCACTGAAAAGGAACCACCAAGTCCCAGGTGAGTTAGACAGAAAGCCCTGGTGGTTTCTGTTTCAACTTGTTAGCTTCCTGCATTTTTTTTTATTATTATTGTTTGTTGTTGTTGTTATTATTATTATTATTATTTTGATACTGGGGATTGAACCTAGGAATGTTTTACCACTAAGTCATATTCCCAGCCCGTTTTATCTCAACACAGGGTCTCCTTCAGTTGCTGAGGGTCTCACTGAGTTGCTGAAGCTGGCCTCAAACTTTCAATCTTCCTATCTCAGCCCCCAGAGCTGCTAGGATTATAGGCATGCACCAACTGTTCTCAAGAGCTTCCTCCATTCTGTGATCCAAACTACAGGCTGAGAAACAAGCTGGCAGAATGCGCTTGTTTGCTCCTTCAAACTTTTATGGTCACTCAGATTTCCAGATTCCTTTAAAAGAAAATGTTCAGTCTGAAATACTGAGTTTCTGGCCTACTAAGATGGCTAACTCCCTTCCTAGTGGAGGGTGTGACAGATAAATCAGCGTTCAAGGCTCTTTGGCATGTATGTGAGGAGGTTATGCAATGTGTCTATAAGGCTACTATGACCAAGAGACCAAGCTACAAAATACACTTAAGGAGAGGTTTAGACTCTCACAAAACCAGGCATAGCCATGCAAGAAGAGCCAGCAGTACTTGGTGGTGGACAGTGTTAAATACAGTAACCCTCTGTTATCTGCAACTTCACTTTCAGTAAGTTTCAGTTATCCTTGGTCAACTTCAGTCTGGAAATACTAAATGGAAAATTACAGAAATAAATAACTCATTTCTATAATTTGAATAGCTTATTATGATATATTGTTACAAGTGTTCTAGTATATTACTGTTTCTGCTAATCTCTTACTATATATACCTAATGTATAAATTTAAAGTATTTATGTATAGCAAAAAAAAAAAAAAAAACCTAGTAGTATATATAGAGTTCGGTAATAGTTTTGGGCATCCACTGGGGGTCTTGGAACATATGCCCTGTGGATAAGGTGGATGAGTGCCTAAGACTTCAGATATTTGATTGCATAACTGCAAGAGGAGACTGTCCCATTAAGGGAAGCGTTATTAAGATAGCTAGTGGGGTTGGGGTTGTGGCTCAGTGGTAGAGCACTTGCCTAGCACATGTGAGGCACTGGGTTCAATCCTCAGCACATAAAAATAAATTTAAAAAAAGGTATTATGTCCATCTACAACTAAAAAAATAAAAAAAAAGAATAAAAAAAGAGAGCTAGTGAGTATTTCTATGGATATTAGTGGGAATTTTTCATGGAAATGTTAAAGAGTGCCAACACAGGAGTGGAGCCCTCCCACTGAAGTGGATGTGAAGCACTAGGAGATGAGGAGTAAATGACAGGAAAGAACAGGGAATGGGGAGGGCCCTGTGGTTGCAGGCAGGAGGGGACAGCCAGCCCGGCAGCCGGGAGCCCTTCAAGGATGGCTGCACTAGCAACATCAGGCACTTGCGTGGCCAAGGAGGCTGGGACTGAGGCCCTAGATCTGACAACCTGGGGCTCCCTGGGGGCCCCCGAGGGCAGCTGCAGTGTAGGGGTTGGGACAGAAGCTACACCAAGGAAGAGCAGCGAGTAAATGGTGTTGATAATGCACAAACAGCAAATGCTGCAAGTTATTCATAGAAATTGAAAAGCAGAAAGAAACCAAGGGGTTAGGAAAGGAGTCCGAGGTTGTAGCAAGGTTGAAAGAAGATTTTTTTTTTTTTTCATAAATTAGGGGAAAACCTAAGCATATTTGTTATTAAAGGGAAAGAGCTGATGTAAAGTAGGGAAAAAGAGAAAGAAAAAGGGAGAAGGAGAGAGAGAAAGGAAGAGGGGAGGGAAAGGAGGAGAAGGAAGAAAGAGAAGGAGAGAGAGATTAATTGAGTGCAAGATTTGTCCAGAGGCAGAATGTCTCAGAAAGGGCAGAGACAGGAAAGTTGAGGCAAGACTAGAGATGTCAGAGTCCATTCTCTGAGAACCAATTGACACCGACTAGATATGTAATGATGTTAGTACATTACTGTTATTTTTTGCTATAATAATACTGTTGCAACTGTATTTTAGAATATTCCTTATCTTTAAGAAATACATTCTAAAACACTTTGTGGAAATGACACCACATCTGAAATTAGCTTCAAAATATCCAAAGCAGGTATTAGGAGGCAGGAAATGGAGATAGAGATTAAAACAGATTGACTACAAGCTGGGGGATGGGGATCATTTTTTTATCTTTGTGTGTATACATATTTCCATAATTCAAAAAAAATAAAATAGAGGGGCTAAAAAGCCCAGTTCACCACCTATGTGAAACTATTTCTCAGATATCAAAGAGAATTCTTCTTTCTTAATTGATGACAAACATGAAGGCACATAAAATGGGGTAAAAATGAAACATTTATTCCCATTCCTTTTTGGATATCTAGCATCTCAAATAGACCTGGCACATGGAAACAGCCAACACTGAGATGAACGTTCACTGCCTTTCCTTCTTCCACTTAGAAACCTTAGTTTTTCCCATGTGACCCAGTGCTTACTTGGGTTGCAGCCTGTTTTTTGATTAACCAGGCTTACTGGATAGATGCTACGCTGTTTATAACCCTCCTTTCTCATTTTATACTTTGTTTAGTAATAAATGCATGAGTGGTCTAAATAGACATGGACTAGGTGATCAGCTCAAAGGAATATTGGATAAAGGTGTTAAAAGAGCCTACTGGAGCAAAGAAAGATGGCTCTTATCTCCCAGGAAACAATTCACACAGCAATAAAAACAACAGCCACCGCCAATTTCTCATAGATCTTTTTTTTAAAAGGCAGTTCTTTAAAAATACTTTCTAATGTTGCTATCAAATTTTGAGGGATGTCTATAAAAGACCTGTGATCCAAAACGTTAAGAGCTCTATTTTGGAAATTAGGAAATTTTTTTACACAATAGGAGGAGGAGAGAGAATGAGTTGGCGTAGTAACAGCAGCAATAGAATGCCAAAGTCATCAAATCACATGAAGTCTGAAGAAACAACAAGTCAAATCTGCACATCCAGTCCTCGGGGCCAGATGTAGCAAGCTGCCCACAATCCTCCACTCTCAATATAAAATGAAGAAAAATCAGGACCAGTTTGTGTCTGCAGGGCAGGGGGCAGAACCACATCCCCTGTCTTTGTGTTTGGATTGGAGGGGGCCAGGATAGAGATGATACAGGAGAGAAGACCCCGGAGATGCTGCCTCTTGGAAGAGGTGACCTGCTCATAGCTGGGTCTGGCTATGCTCCATCCTACCTCCTCCTGCATCCCACACTCCAGCAGCATCGTCACACACGCCTCAATGGGGAAGGCGATCTCTCGGCCACTGATCGTGAGATGCTCCTCCAGTGGCTTCCCAAAGGAGGGTTTCTCAACCCAGGCCTCTGAGGAGGAGAAGAAAGAAAGAGGTCAGTCAGCAGTTTGAGAAGGTCACTCACATTATCTTTCTTTTCTCTTGTCATTCAGATTCTCCTAAGACTACCAAAAAAAAAAAAAAAAAAAATGGTGGCCCAGTTGGGGATTGGGGATGAGGGAGAGGGTAGGTGGTCAGCCAGCTGTATCCATTAGTGCTGGGGTTAATGTGACACACCACATTCATCCTGGATGGGGTTCATGATTGGATGTGCTTGACTTGATTACGACTGGATCAATACCATCATACAAAGTTCTAGGGGCTCATCTGAATGTGACATGATTGTGTAAATCTTAAACAGTGACCAAAATGCAAGGAGATGGTCTCATCTGGGAAGGCAACCGGGCTCCCCAGACTCCCTTCCCAGGGAAGGCATGTGCTTACCTTGTTGTGCTTTTATTTGAGGCAATACAGCCTGCAACAGTGTCAATGACTTCCTGTGGTATTCAGCTTGCACTTCTATTAGCTGAGAAAATCACAAAAAAATACATTACCCTGTGCAGAATGGCAGGAACACAGGCTTCTCTGTTGCACATAGCAGGTTCTGCGTGAAGGTGCTTACTCATGGGGGAGGGAGAAGGAGCCCCCCTGCTCCCTCCTCCAACTCACATAGTAAGATAGTCATGCTTCAGCCTGTCACAGCAGACTAAGAATGGAAATTTGAGAAGCAGGAGAACCATGAAAAAATAAGGGAGTTCCCCCAGAGCTGGAGCCTGGCTTAGAAAGCTTCATCTTAGCCACCACCCTACCTTTCCTGGCACCCCAGGAAAAGGCAACAAAGAGAAGTGCAAGAACAGGTGATTATAAACGGGCAATACGCTTAGAAATTCATTTGCCTCTACAATATGTATGGGCTAAATCAATCTGTATACGTCTTCGATTTCTGCCAACTTAGTTTAACTTCGAGCTGATCAGAAAACATACAGCTGGACCTGGGATCCTCTTTAGGTACACTGGGAGGTGAACTTGCTCTGGCTATTGTGGTGCAATCGGAAGAACAAATTCCTCATGGTGCTCTACTGTGATCATCCCATTAAATTAAAACACAGCTGACATGTGGATAACGGCAAGGGAAAACCCATGAGCAACAGTTACTTCATTTATTTTCAGAATCTCCTTCTCCTGTCCCCAAGAGTGGGCATGGAGGACAGAGGGGGAGGGAACAGCTCTGAATCCTTGCTGTGGAGAGGAAATACCAATAACACTGATGGAAAACTAATGCAGATTTTTTTTTTAACAAAGTTAACAGAATAAGTAAATAAATGGTACCCAAGGGACAATTAGACAATCTAATAAGGCTTGGAATGCTGGTATTTCGTTGGTTTCAGAAAGTCTAAAGTCAAGTCTCATCTTCACAACTGAAACCGATAAAATGCACTTGGAAAAAATACTATTGTAAAATTAACTCTCCAAGTTGGGAATAATAGATATCAGTTCTTTTTGCAGAAATAAGAAACATATGAATGTCTAGGCCAGTAATAAAAATGTTCGAATAATGCTAATAGCCCATAGCACTTCTACCATAGTCCATAAAGCACGTCATCCTTTTCAGGAATTCTCCTGTTTTTATTTTTACTCCCCTTCCTTATCATTCTATCACCTCCCTGATCATATAAAAAATAAACATATGTAAGTATGTGTGTGTGTGTATACAGACACACACATGTATATGTATATATAGACAGAGTGTGTGCTTTCTAGAGTTTTAGTCTCAACACGAGCAGGTGAACAGGACAATCTGTCATTTTGTACTATTTCTCTGTGTACGATTTTTGTTTTCTTGGTTTTTTATTGTTGTTGTTTCACTTGCTTTGCATTTACCCTGCTAAACAGCAAGAGTCCTCATTATCTGAACTGGATCATTTAAGTGTAGGTGATTCAGATCCTGTTTCTTCCTCTTTCTCAATTCTAAATCTGCTTCCATGGGTAAGAGGCAGGTAAACATGTTAGAGTCTGTAAACAAGTCAAAATAACACCTGGAATTTTGCCAGGGGAATGTTAGAGTTCGTAAACAAGTCTGGATGGTGCCTGGCAAAATGCCAGAGGGAGTGGTTTGAGAAGTAACAAAAGCGAGCCATTAAGTGTGGAGATTCCTGATTGGTTGACTGCTGTATCTAGTTTATGTTAATTAGATAAGCTGTGTGGAATGTATAAATACTGCTCCTGTCCTACAATAAACGGCTCCCACTCCTGCTGTATCAACGTACACAAGTTGTTCGTCACCTCCCGGTTATTCTGCTGCAGCCGGACTGCGGCATAAACAGGTTACATATCAATCACTATTCACCTATTTGCCACTACAGCAAAAACCTATATCAAAATCAGTGCTCACTTGGGATGAGGTGGTTATCTTCCTATTCTCCTCAAGACCCTTATTGTCCCAGATCAAGTTTTCTCAACATTGGTCCTACTAATATATTGGGGGAGTGGGCAAATCTTGGTGGTAGGGAGCTGCCCTACATATTGTGAGAAACTTAGCAGAGTTCCTGGTCTATCTATTAGATGACAATGTCCCTCCCTAGCTGCAATGATTAGAAATGCCTCCAAGCACTGCCAGATGTCTACTAGGAAAGGTAGCAAAATTGCTTTCAGTTATCATTCAGTGTAATTGATGACTGAACTGCAATAAATCCAGGGAGAGGGCTGGGTTTTATTCTTATGTTTTTGAAGAAACCCCTATAAGGAGTAAGGAAGGCAGAATCTATTCATGATAGAACAGTTTCACCCTTTTCTATGATGTGCTAACTAAGTGAGAGGCCCCAAGTTCCATGCCCACATTCCCTTTCTATCCACACCATGAATCTTGCTAACACTTTCATGCAATCTCACCTTTCTGGACCCTTACCGTTTGAAAGTAGTTTGCATAGTCGATTTCTTTGGCCACAAAACTGTACATGTCAGCGGAGAGTTGGTCCTGTGCAAGGTAAAAGATACAACCAAGGTAAAACATAAAATAATAAGGTAGCTAATGTCTGAGTCTATACACCACAGGAGAAAGGAGCCTTAAACAGTTTCATTTTAAAATAATATTTGATATGTTACAAACTTTTTTTTCATAGGGAATTCCATGTTTTCCCACAACGGCTCTACAAAATGAGTGAGTTTGAAAAGTACACCTATGCCAATAGATCCCTCAGGGTTTTTAACACATGGGCTATGTCTGCAGTTAAAGTCAAAGCTGGTGTGGGAGCATGAAGTGCAAATGACATCCGTACACCTCTGCAGCTTGTGCCACCATCCTGAAGCAAGCTTCCTTCTCCTGCCCCAGCTCTCTTTCACTCTCAATTCTGATTACGTGATCATCACGATAAGGAAAGAGATGGAAGGAGATGCAGCAATTTAGAGAAAGCTTAGAGAAGACAGGTGCACAGGGAAAGCATTGCTGACTCAATACCTGGCAAAACCTGGACTCATCTCACATTGCACACGGATCTCACAGCATCAGCATCCCTTCATTATTCAGGTCTGCATGGGCTTGGATGGCAATGGCCTAATGCAGTGTTGGAACATGGAATGTTTCATCCTTTGAGGAGAACCATTCTAGGTTCCAGAAAAACAGGCATAACATTGCGTCATCAATGTTTCTTTTGAGCAGGATGAAATTCTGTCACTCACAGTATTTCTGAGCGTGACCCTCCTCTGAACTTGTTTGTGCAACTCATATGACCTCTTAGGTGCTTACCTGTTTGGCAACCTTAGGTTGGCAATACTTAGACAAGGTGGGTAACTGACAAGAGCTTACATGTTCAGGTTGAGCCAAACGCAATGGTAGCCCAAGAAAACCACCTGGATGCTGAATAAATGAAAGCAGTGACAACATGCTTTTGGACAGACCCTGTGCCATGAAACCTCAAGCGATCTGTACCAAACCACAACCCTTAGCTTCTCCAATTAAGCTGATTCTCGGCAAAAACACCGGGATGTGTAGGAGCAACCTGTTTAATTTCTAGAATCCAGGACAGGCAAGCAACTCCTGGGAACATCACTCAATAATTCTTGTATACTAGTCAAGGGAACCAAGACACAGAATTGAAAGAGGAAATCTGTTCTCTGGGGACCTCTAAGCACTGATGAGACCAAGCTATGCATGACTGACTTGCACAGAATGAACAAAGAGAAAAAAATGAACGGACACTCATGGAGAACTTTCTAGGTGTGAACCACAAATTTTCACCTAACCCTCTTAGGTAAGAATTAATTTTCTAATTTTAGGTCAGTAGGTTGTCCACGTATTCAAGAATCTTATCTATTGACCACTGTCTAAAAATGCTTAGCCTAGTAGAAACTTCAAAACTATTCTCTAAATGAGGAAATTAAGGCTCAGAGTTGGCAAATTTCCAAAATACAATAAGCGCAAGACCACGTCAAACCTCTTCCCCCAGAGGACCCTTATTTGAAGGTCTCTGCAGACTGTCAAGTCTCTCCAAGGTTCCAGAGAGAGGATCTCATCTGGAATCCACTTCGTCTAACATCCCTGCAGAGCCCCATTCAGGAGACATACATCACCAGTCTTCCCGTTGGGAGGGAGATATTTTGAGCCAGAAAAACAACAATAAAAATGGCTCAGCAGACAGAGAAAAGGAAGAGAACCCCCCCAAAGACCTGGTGCTGCATCAAATACACTTTCAATTCCTCATCATCTGGGCCTCTCCCAGGACAATCTTAAAAAAATAAAATCAGTACGTTACTACGTTTTTAAAGTCACAATGCGGATTCCAAACAGGCCACACTACAAATAAGAAACAAGAATGGAAACTACAAATCTGCTAATTTTTTTTTTTAATAAAGAACAAAACCCCTTTCATCAATAATGACTAGAGTTTAAAGTATTGTTAAAAATCATTATTTTCTGATTTTGCAACTAATCTACACTCAGAATTTCTAATAGGAAAACAAAGACCCAAGTTCATGGGCAATCTGAGCAGGCAGCAATCAATTGCCAACGTGGACATGAAGATGCTCATTTTGTTCCATTCTATCCAGGCATATCTTTTTTCTGATTGTTTGGTTTACCAAAAAAAAATGGAACCAAACTGCTTTTTACCCCTAGAAAAACACAGTTTGTAATGGTGACATATTTTATTATATGAATATGTTTCTCTTGTTGGAAATTACAGGGGTTTTTTGGTACTAGGGATTGAACTCAGGGACTCTCAACTGCTGAGCCACATCCAGCCTTATTTTTGTATTTTATTTAAAGACAGGGTCTCACTGAGTTGCTAAGCACCTCGCCTTTGCTGAGGTTGGCTTTGAACTCGTGATCCTCTGCCTCAGCTTCCCAAGTCTCTGGCATCTGGCTGGAAATTGTGTTTTTATTTTTTCACCATTACAGACTGTATTTTTCTGGGAGGTAAAATGATCAAAAAAGCAGTTGGGTTCCATTTTTTGTAAACAAAGCAATCAGAAAAAAGATATGCCTGGATAAAATGGAGCAAATGAGCATCTTCATGTTCATGCTGGTGACTACTACCTGATCAGGTTTTATTTTTTTGCTATTATAACAACTGGACAGATGTCTGTTCAGAAAGGTTTTACACCCATCTCCTAATTAGTCCCCTATGACAAATTCTGCAGTTAAAATTTATTCTGACTATAATTCTTGACAGTTAATTGAAACATATTAGAAAGATAATAATGTAATTGAAATACATTAAAAAGATAATAATGGATTGGAACCTCAGAGCTGTTGTTATGTACTTGCAAATACCCATTGGAAAGGTCACTGTACTATAAAGAATAAGTCAGGAGTTGGGGTTATGGCTCAGTGGTGGAGTGCTCATCCTCCATGCATAAGGTACTGGGTTTGATCCTTGGCACCACATAAAAAAATAAAATAAAATAAAATAAAGATGTGTGTCCATCTAAAATTAAAAAAAATAAACATTTTTTTAAAAAGAATAACTCAGAAGTGTTTTGTTTTCCACAGTAACCTTTTCATTCTAAGAAATCACTATCAAATAAATAGATGAAATCAAAATAATAAATGGCATTTTTGATCAAGAAGTTAGCTTCCTTCTAGATTATGTTTTTCATCTTCTTTTATTATCCATAGTCAATTGCTCATCAATGCTGAGTGCTAATTTTCCTATGAGATTACTCATCTAATCCTTATTTATAAAGTCTGTAAGAATTCTTTCATTTATGATACCATTGACTTTATCAATATTCAAAGACTTCCCCTCAATTTTCCATTTGCCTTTTAGGGCATTATCACTTTGGAAGAGTCACTGTACTTTATTCAAGTTTTATCTTATAGTGGTATCTATTAAGATTTTCTCTCTATGATTCATTCCTCTGATGATATACTTAGGGCTTTTACATATATATTATTTAGCTTTTTGATTATAGATTATATATTATATAAATAAATATATAAGGATATATATCCCCATATATTTATTTATATGTAATATACAATTTATATTTATATATTTATATATAATTTTATATGTATAAATATCTATTTATATATAATTTTTAAAAATATGTGTGTGTATGTATGTATGTGTGTGTGTGTGTGTGTATATATATATATATATATATATATATATATATATAGATTAACTAATTGCTGCAGACTCAGTGTGGACAAGCCTGAAAGGTAAGTCCTCCAGAGAGACCCAGGCACAAGAAGGCCCCACCTTTTACCTCCAGGAGTTCTACCAGGTTCTCACAGTGAGTTTCAGAGAAAAGGAAAAAAAAAATTAAAAACTAACCAGGGAAAAATATCCACCAAGGGAAAGAAAAGTTACCTTTCTGAAATATGCCAGACCATTCTATTCTTTTCAACAAGGTCTGCCCTCAAGAGAAATTATTTTACCAAAGTTTAAACTACTGAATTGTTTCTTATTGTTGTTTTGTTTTCCAATACCTAACCACCTGAAGAGAAGGGGAAAAACTCAGTTTCAGCTTCTTCTGGCCATTCTGTCCCACCTAAGAGAAAAATAAACTGCAAAGCCCTGGTGAAATTCACAAACCAGGCGCACACACTCAGCAAAAGATTGAGCCTCATGACAGGATGTAGACACTTTCCCTTCTCCCATACTTTACCACCATATCACTAAAGGTCTGTTTACTACAGTTCCTTTTACATAGTACATTTTCTCTCCCTTTCAACAAAAAATTATGAAGCATGCTAAAAAAGAAAAAATAAAACAAAAATCCAAAGAGGGTTAGGTCATCTAGTAAATTTCATATTACTTAAGGAAATTATACATCAACAAGATATAACAATCGTAAATATGTATGCCCCAAGCAATGGAACATCTACGTACATCAAACAAATCCTTCTCAATTTCAAGAATCAAACAAACCACAACACAATAATACTGGGTGATGTTAACACACCTCTCTCACCACTGGATAGATCCTCCAAACAAAAACTAAATAACAAAACTATAGAATTAAATAATACAATCAATAATTTAGACTTTATATAGAGAGAGTTAAGTTAATTAAGTATTTCATCCATCAATGGTTGAATATACTTTCTTCTCAGCAGCAAATGGATCCTTCTCTAAAACAGACCATCTCTCAGGCCACAAAGCAAATACAAGAAAACAGAGATGATACCCTGCATTTTATCATATCATAATAGATGGAAATTAGAAATCAATGATAAAATAAAAAATAGAAGCTATTCTAACACCTGGAGACTGAATATTGAATGGATAGCAAAAGAAGTAATGGATGAAATAAAAAATATACTTGGAGGTAAATGAGAACAGCAATACAACAGATCAAAACCTCCTGGACATAAAGGCAGTTCTAAGAGGAAAGTTCATTGCATTGAGCTCATTCACTAAAAGAACAGAAAATTGACAAATAAATAACCTAACATTACATCTCAACACCCTAGGAAAAAAAGAACAAATCAACATCAAAAGCAGTAGAAGTATAAAATGAATTAAAATC